GAAAGGAAAGATGCTTCTGGCTTTCCTCTTGGTCAGCAGCAGCAACAACAACAGAGTTTCCCACAGACAGTTCAGCAGCAACAAGTGCAACCACAACAGCAACAACAAATTGCCAAGAGCAGCTTTACACCACAGTCTGCCACAAATCCACTGACTGTAAAGACTGGAAATCAGGCTGCCATGACTGTAACTCCTGCTTCTTCTGTAACTTCTTCATCCACTTCCTCTCCTGGACTCCCTCTCTCCCAACTCCTCCTGACCCCCTCTGCTGCACCGGTGATCCTAGTACCCACGTCAAATGTTCCTACCTCCACCCAGGGCTACCCTATTGGCTCAGTGGCACCAAAGGCGAATGTTAACACTCAAACTCTGGTGGTGCAACCCCTGCAACAGTCCAGCACTAATGTAGACAAAGGTCCTGTTCCAATACAGCCCAAGACAGCTCAGGGACATCGTTTACCGTTGCAGCTGCCCCCTCGACACCCACCGCCCATTCTCCCAGCTCCACCTAGCAATAATCAGTCCACTGCTGCAGGTCACAACCCTCCTCACATCCCTGTCCAGCTTGTGGGAGCCAGGCAGGGCTTAGCAGGAAATATGCAAGCTGTGGCCCTGGCACAGGCACGAAATAGCACAGCCCAGGAAAGTCCATCTGGTGGGAATGTTGGCACGGCCTCCGGCAACAGTACTATGGTAAGATCAAAGGATTTACTGCTTGGGTTAGGTGTAGGGAGAGACGTCTTTGTACAAGGGATTGTAACAGGGCTTTTTTTCCCCCCACATGCTGTTAGACAAAAGCTCCTCTTGGCTCTCTCAAGAGGAAATATGACTGTGATGGCCTGAATGAGATGACAGAATCTTCAGACTCAGCACCCATGAAAGACTCGGCTCCTCCTTTATCTCCTGCACCTACAAAGGACTCGGGTACGTCAGCTTGTCGTCTCTAATTCATGCATAAAACGTTTGTAGAACGTCTTCAAAATTCTCACTGTAAACTCATTATTTTTTCTTTTTCATGATTCACCAGCTCCTCCTTCAGAAGCTGCCTTCTCATCTCCTCCCACGCTTTCTTTGCCTCTCCCATTGTCAAGAGTAGGGCACGGGGACAAAGACAGAGCACCTGTTCCCCAGGCTGTCGTCAAACCACAAGTTCTCACTCATGTTATCGAGGGCTTTGTGATTCAGGAGGGAGCTGAGCCCTTCCCTGTAAGTGTGATAATACACGCACAGAGTCAGATAATAAATGTGAAGGTTACCATGAGAAAAAAAAAGTGTCTTACTATCTTGATGTGACAGGTTGCTCGGCTTCCCAAAGACGGAGATTTTGCCCTGGTTGGCTGCACAGAAAATGGACCTCCATGTAAGTGGTGGTTTATTATTCATTAAGTATGGTAGCTTTAAGCTGTGTTTATGGTCAGTAGTGTAAAGTCTTTCTTTCCCTACTCAGTGTTGAAGTGTGAATACTGTGGGAACCTTGCTCCAGCCAGCCAGTTCAGAGGATCAAAGAGGTTCTGTACTAATACTTGCGCCAAAAGGTACAGTTTTGTTTCTGTTTCAGCTTACATACACATTATGTGTTGTTTTGTTCCTTCTTAATTAGCCATAAAAGCTCAGAGTTCAAAGGACATTCATATCTTATTAGGAAAACAGCTAAAGCCTTTGCAGTTTAAGCCACTGACTGCAGTATTTGGTTAGAACAGAGGTTCCCAAAGTGTGGGGCCCGCCCCCTAGGGGGGGCACAGAGCCATTGCAGGGGGTGGCACGATATGAGGGAAAAAAAAGACTGCTTGGACACTGGTAGCATAATGGAGAGGTTTTTGACGGGGCTCCCACACAAACGCAAAGCAGAAGATGAAGCATCGCCAAATATGTTTCCAAACCAACTTCCTTCAAAGCCAAAGACTAGAAAATATGGTGAAACATATCTTCCCTTTACCTGCACAAGTGCCAAGGTAGGTCTCCCTTGCAGAATTGGTTTTTCCCGCATCGGGAGCACGCGCTGGGCTTTCCAAATCACGGACAAACAGTATCCCACATTCTTGATTTTAAGTTCACACACACTTCTTATAATAACTAACTACTCCTGACATTTTGGAGATGTTAGCTCTTTATACAGTAAAGTTACAGTGGGATACAAATAATATCAGGCTGATCCTGCCATAATTTGTTCCCCCTGTTCAAATCACGGACAAACAGTAACCCACAGTTGTTTATGTTTTTAAACCCATTTTGCACAGACGGGCATTTTTTTAAAAATGTATCGAAGATGTTTCTTGTAAAACAAAGGGTGGCCTAGCAAAAACAGTTTGGGAACCACTGGGTTAGAACCTACAAGCTCTGAAGAGTGAAATTCAAAGCAAAGAAACAATGTGCTTACAGTGAGTTTGAATTATTTGGAGGGTATTTTTGCATTTATTTGCTTTAAAAATGCTTTAAAAAGAGAGCAAGTTTCTTACTATGTTCTGGCCTGCCTAGTTGAAGCTGTGATCTGCAGGTCTTGTCTAAGGGCTAAAATAAGCAGATTTACCCACTTACACTGAAGTTTGAAGCTAACACACTAGCTAACAGGGTGGCACGACCGATTAAAGCAAATAATGAAAGTAGACAGATTCAAAGGAGGTGGAAGTACTTCTTTATCTAGGGCTCACGTAGCCCTTTGTCAGAGACAGTCTCTGCCATTTTAAAAATCCTGTAATTAGCATTGTAATTTTGAATCTACATAGCTGCAGAGATACAGAGCCAGAGAACAAAAGCTTGAGAAAGTGTAGTAGAAAGTGATATACATCTTTGAAATGTTTTTTCAGCTAAATCTCAAATTGATGGGGCTTTGAATGGAGTTTCCAATTTGCCACTATGGCACAGATAAAGCTGTTTCGTGTTCGGGCTTGTGAGAAATGCTGTGCAAGAACAAAAATATTCTGCTTTAACATCAGGAAGCTTTTTTCTTTTTTTAATTCAGGCAGTAGCTTTTATACTCAGGCTGTTGTGAGTTGGCGCCACGGTGGCCTACTCTTATCTGAAAACATGTTTCTTGACAGAATGATGGCTAAACAATATGTTTATCGATTTGCTGATAATTGGTTAAAGGCTTTATTTGAGAAGACTAAGCAAGATATGTGTGCTGAAGACATCTGATCCTTAATGTGATTTTCATTTTACCCATTTCGTTAAATGTGAAACTAAGTTTGACCCCCTTTTTAGACAATAGTAACACTGGAAATTTACTCAGGGGAGGCAAACAAACAAGAATGTCTCTCTCAGTGCTGACTTTGCTTTTCATTCGCAGGTATAATGTAAGCTGCAGCCAGCACTACAAATCCAGCAGAGGGAGAACAGCTGCAGGGCTGGCACCAAATCCAGCACCCACAGAGAGCACTGCTAGGCGTAGGGGCTCTACTCGCAGGAGCAGTTCTAATATCACCTCTAATAAAATATCAACCAAGCATCTACCTGTCAAGGTAACACCTGTAGGTTTTAAAGGATGTCTCGTGTGTTTTCTGTTGTTAACAGTCTTAAAAACAAAATAAAAATCAAGGCCATTATTTTTGAAAACTAACATTCCCAGCTGTTTTTGGAAATCCTTTTTCCTTTTTTGTCTTGCAACATAATAATAGTATAAAAATGCTGCTGATTGTAGTTCAATTTCTGCTGTTTTGGGTGCAGTTTAACTCCGAGTCCAGTCGTTCAGATGAAGTATCCAGCGATGGCGAAGAAGACGATTCTCCTTCACTGTCTCCGAGTTCTTCCCGCTCCTGCTCAAGAGCCGAGCACAGCGCTCTTCAGTCTGACAGCTCAGCTCCTGGAAGTCTTCCACTAGAGGGGGCTGGCTTCCTGTCTTCGACTCCTTCCCAGTGGAGTGTGGACGAAGTCTACAGGTTTATCTCCTCACTTCAAGGTTGGTGGTCCATCTGATTACAGTTCACTCGTCACATGTTGTTTCTCTTTATTGTCTCCTGCATTAACTGAGTCTCTTGGTCGATCAGGTTGTGAGGAGCTGGCTGCCCAGTTTCAGTCTCAGGAAATAGACGGGCAGGCGCTGCTGCTTTTGCGTGAGGACCATCTCATCTCCACCATGAACATCAAGCTGGGTCCCGCTCTCAAGATCTGTGCCTCCATCAACAGCCTGCGTGAGTAATGCTGCCTGAAGGACTCCAGGATTGTGTTCTCATAGCCAACTTCTCACTGAAATCAACACTTGGACTCTTAAAAAAAAAAAAAAAAAAAAAAAAAGACTGAGAACTTTGGGATTAATGAAGATGCTCCATCGGTCTTGTAGAGACAAGAAGATGGAGAGCTTACTTTCAGGACACTGAATGTGCAGAAGACATGAATGCATATGTGTGAGTGGTTCGTGAGAAGTCCAGTATACATGTCAGTAGTGTTTTTCTTTTGTTTTTTTTTTCTGTCACTGTGAGTAGAGGCGTTTTTACGCGTGGAAGGAGAAACTGCAAATCAGACAGCATAGCGACATCGGTGCTAGGACAGTTCACCACTTGGGTGCAAAAAAAAAAAGAACCTTGCCTTCTTGTTGTATTTCGATCGGTGCTTTAACTTTAGCGACGTGATTAGCAACAGTCCATTACGTTGATATTTCCGTTCTTTTTGTAGTTACGCTTATAGTTTGCCATAGATGTTCCATCCAGGCTCCAATCATATCACGGAAAGGACACTCAGAAAGCCTGGGCTTTTTTGATTAGGTTATTAAAACAGTTATTGAAAGTTTAGTTTTGTATCTTTTCCATTTTATACTACAAACAAAATTATTTTTTCATGGATACTGTAGTTTTAGTGGCTTTAATCAACCTAACTACCTGAAAATAGGTTTTCCTCATGGTTTGCTCTTTCAACGACTGGAAGCGCTCTCTGTGCGTGTATGCAGTACTACCAATAAAAAGTACCTGTTACTGGAGCTTTGTGTGTTTTTGTTTTTATCTCCTCCACTCAATGAAAGCCGCATGAAAAATAAGGTCATCTTTATTTTATTCACATTTGAGTTCATGTAAACAGAGATTTTCATGTTCACATAAACTGAACTTGATCAGTAAACATAATTTACAATGGAAATAATGGCAAAATTACATTAATGGGTCCTTCATTTCCACACTTATGTCTGATACGAAATCATGAAAAATGTGGCAAATATATATATATTGGAACATACATTGGCATCTTCAAACAAAATTAGCAAACCATCATGTATGGACAGTATTTAGCACAGGTTCAGGTTGAAGCTGTACGTCGGCCAGGTTTACGGGTCCAAATGTCGAGTCGGAGGTTTTATTTCACCAACTGAACATTAGAGATATTGGGAAAGGCAAGACACATGAATGAAATTTGGAAAAAAAAAGAAAGAAAAAAAACAACCTAATGTTTCCCAAAGTTAACTGTTGAAAGAAGGAAAAAGGAGCAATTTCAATTCCCAGAGTGATCATACCCAGAGTTTTGAGCTATTGTATTGCATCTGAACATCATTTTTTTGTTTTGTAAAAGTGCTTTTGCTGAGGATAGCTGCAATCAGAAAACAGTGTAGCTGTTGGCTTCGCCGTATCCAGCTTCTTTAAGGTATTGCTCAATGTCAACTGTCCCAGATGCCTTGATGACCTTGTCAGAGGCCGCCTTCTCTCCTGAAGCCAGCTTCTTGCTCACTTCAGCCAGAGTGGGTCTTTCTTGATCCTTCCACTGGCAGCAACCTTTAATGATTGTGTACCTGTGCGACGAACAGATGAAGAAATTTATCTGACTTTTGCAGTGATTAACGAGAGGAAGTGTCGCGCTTCATGTTTGGCGTTTCTGGAGTATGCAGTGGACACTCACAGTGCGTTGGAGCAGTTAGATGGTTTTTTAAGATTTTTTCCTCGCTGATGAAACTGCAGAAGCTCATTAGCCGGGATCTCTGCAAACGGAGCTTCACCTGGACAAACACAAGAGAAATTAGTAGATACAATATAGCGTATAAATGTGAAAACTCTTTGATGCAATCCTGTGAAAAAAACCAAGTCCACCCTTACTCTTTCCATAGGAATTAAGATGGTAAGTAGCAGTCTGGGAAAAGATACCATTAATGATCTAAAAGAAGAAACTGGTGCTGTCCATCAATCTTGGAGGAATTGAAAGGCTATTTTCAAACAATTTGAAGTCTGTGATGTTACAGTGAGAAAGATTCACATGGAAAACATTCAAGACAGCTGCCAGGAGTCACTGAGGCCAGACTGTGCAATGCTCAGAGAAGCTTGTGAAGTTAATGACAGTACAATTAGAAAAAGACTGAACAAGTATGACTTGTTTGGAAGGCTTGCCAGGAGAGAAGCTCTTCTCTCTGAAAAGAACACGGCAGCATGACTTAGATTTGCAAAGCTGCATTTGAAGAAACCACAAGACTTCTGGAGCAATGTCCTTTGGACAAAAGAGACTAAAGTGGAGATGTTTGGTAAAATCAAACACTGAGTTAACGGTGAAGTCCTCTGTATACCAAAGTATTCTAGAGTCAAATATGAGGCCATCAATCTGATAGCTAAAACAACAGAATTGCTCAAATGACCTCAATCTGACTGAAATGCTGTGGTAAGACTTTAGAAGAGCAGTGGATAAATTAATCTGAACTGAGCAAAGTTTCATGTGACTGCATAGAAATAAGTACACAAGTGTTACTTTGCAATGTTAAAATACAGTAAATTATAAAGGTTTGCACGACTTTCTTAGGTAACTCTATCGAATTAAATAATTTACAGATTAAGGATCAACACTGGCACAAAAATCCTTTTAAAATCCAAAATTACTGTCACACAAATGTGTTGTTTTTAAAACACTGAGTCCATCTGCACACAGGAACCCAGAGTAAAGTGAGTAAAAAGTACAGAGACATGTCTAACAGCTAATTCAAATTGTTCTATTATTCAACTCTTGAAAGATGTATTCATTAATACTTTTTAAAGTTACGAGTATATTCTAAAAAGTAAGAATTGAACTTACCCAAAGTTGTCATTTCATACAATAAGATACCAAAGGACCAGCTAAAAAGGGACAGACAAAAGCAACTGATGTTACAGTCTTTCTTCCAGGAGTTTAATAACAAGCTTATAGACTACACATTTCATGTAGCAACATCTCTATCAGAGGATATTAAGGTAAACAAAACACCAAGACATCTTTTATACACGTGACACATAAAATTAGGCTCAAATGAGATCTAACAAGAACTCACACGTCGCTTTTCTCACTGGCAGGCCTCTTGGCTAGCACCTCTGGTGCCTGCCATTTCTTCATGCTCGGATCCTCCCTCTGCGTGGCTCCTTGGTTCTTTCGTGTATAGACTCCATGCAGGCCCCAAAGCTTGGCTGTGAACATCTTACTGATCAGTACACTACGGGCACGGATGTTTCCATGGAGAAGATCTTTACTGTGAAGGAACGCCTGATCGGGCAACATGACAGCGAAGTCAAGATTAACCAGATGAGCATGTGCAGTTCCTATAAATATTAAAAGACTGCCCTCCAGCATTAAAAAAGAGCCAATGAAAATACAGTATATTTGTATACTAACCAGTGCACTGGCCACCTGGTTTGCCATGGTAAAGATTCGTTTCTCTGTCATTTCACATGGCGGATCCCCATTGTCCTGGAAAGGGAGTCACAAAAACATCTAAATAATTCTTCTTTTACATCTCGATTTGGAGATTTACATTTAGATTTTTATCATACTTTGACTTTGATTTGTTGCTTGAAGGAGAATCAGTGTAGCACACGCTGCATCTTTGAAGCTCATTAAAAATGTATCTCCCTACCTCTCTGCATCTCCACAAGAAGCTGAGCAGGTCTCTGTTTTCCAGTTCTTCCACAACTGTAACCAGGGGAGCTCGCAGTGACACCACACCTAGGAGCTCAGGCAGGAAGGGATGTGGTCCGAGCTGGGCCAGGAAGGAAGCAAAGCCCAGGAAGTTGTGCCTTTCTGTGGCATTAGCCGAGTCTGCCAACGAGAGAAAAAGTAAATGCTGAATCTTGCACTGAAAACCAAATGAGATCTGCAAAACTCACAGACAAACCTCGGTGAAAATCATACCATTTAGCACTCGCAGTACCACATTCCTGTTTTCCATACGGGCCCTGTAGATGGACACGGAGGAGTCTGTGCGCAGGGAGAAGGTGCCAGAGAGAGGCGTGACCAGGTTGAAGGACTCTGGGAGCCTCTGGCGGGGCAGCTCTCTGGGCTGCGGCGGGAGAGTGAAAGTGGGCTTGAAAGTCTCCTGTGGCGGTGGGCTGGGATGTTGAGGGAGTGTCTCCACAGAATTGGAAAATGCTTTATTGAGGTAGGTGTGCGGGGACCGGAAGGTGGAGTAGGAATTGGGCATGTCCAAAGCAATGCTTTCATGCTCCAGAACATTGATACCTGATGGAGCTGCAGAGAGAATAGAGGCTTGTATGAAAACACAGGGAGTAAATGAGACCATAACCCAGACACTATTTCAAGTCATGTTATTTAACATTTATAAAAAAGTTGAGAAGTAGAAACATGCATGTGCTTTTGAACACATAAAATTATAGTAGTTGCTTATATAAGGATTTTTTTCAGTACTTATTAATGCACAGTATTTGTAAACTCCTTCACCTGAAGTTACATCTGCCTAACACAACATTACAATGTGTTACAAACCATTTATTAAATGTTTGTGTTTGCTTATATGAGTTAAATAAATTAAACAGTTCCAGAAAAACAATTAAAATTTGCACGTCTCACAGCAGTGAGCAAAATTAAAAGGACACAAAAGCTCAAAATATTATTATTGTATTATTTTTGTTCATTTAGATTAAATTTTATATAATGTTGTTTCATGAACAAGCAAATACAGGCCACAAATTTGACTTAAACTACCAATATCACAAAAAACATTCAATTCAATTTTATTTATGCAGCCCCAAATCACAACAACAGTCGACTTCATTCTTTTTTGTGTTCTTACCGTCAATGCCATGCAGTATCCTCCTGGTAGTGACCTTTGACTTTGGACGGATACGATCGACCTTCTCTGGGCAGAAGCGCAGCAGTAAAATGAAGACCAGAGTTATCAGAAAGCTGGCCAGCAGGAAGACGGGCACGACGATCACCTCCTGTTCGTACACTCGGATATCTGCAAACAGGGAATGTACACAAGGAAACGTCCGTCTTTAGAGTCAAAGTACTTAAAGTGGCAGATATGGTTATGCAGTCTATGCTAATATTTTTGCTCAGCTGATGTGCAGAGTTTATCTTCTATCTTCAGGCAAAGACAGAAGACGTCTCTCTAACAAGGGTTAGGCTCGTCAAGCCCCATAAATGGTCAGACCTGTTTAGTGAGCAGAAGTAGCCACGAAACTTACCACAGATAACGTCTCCAGTTTTGCACTGAAAGTCTGAAGACATCCTGTCACATATTTAAAAGAAAATAAAAAGAGATGAAGAGATGTAAGAAGCTCACACAACCAGACTTCATACTGAGGAGGTTTTTAGTGCTTTCATACACTTAAAAGTTGTCCAGATATTTTCTCAGTAGGAAAACCATTGATTTCTTTGTTATGGAGGAAGTAGTCAAATTAAAATGTATTGCCTGACAGGCCTGTTGTTTATGTATTGTAATGTGACTCTTACAGGTAATCAGTACGAGGAGGCATCTGAGCAAACAGGTAACTGAGACCAGAAA